TCCACCAGGTCTTGGCGCATGGCTGGCGTCCGTCCACGAAGCGCCTGTTGCCGTCCTGCAGGCTGCGCTGCGGTTCACAAGAGACACGGCGGGTGCTTCAAAGCTCTCAAGGCGGCAGCAAGCGGAGGGCTTCCTGGGGCTCCATCGGCTCGTCTGCGGCGGTGCGCACTGCCCGCGCATGTGCGCTGCGGGGAATGGTCAGGGAAGTGGCAGACGAAGGCACTTCTGGGCGGCTGCGCAGCGCGAACAGGGACATGGCTGAGACCTCACATCTTCAACACACCCACAAGCTCCTAATTGCTCTGCCTGGCTTAGGCATTGCTTGGTGGACTAAGGTTCATGGGAAGCCAGTTGGCTCATGACACTGAGGCCCTCCCGCGCCTGCAGGGCATCCTAACCAGCAAACCAAACAAAAATAAACATCTCGCAAGGCCTTCAAGGCCTTCAGTCACAAGATCGTTTTACTCTTAATCATGACATTGACTGTAGCAAAAACCGCTGGTTCCTCCCCGGAACACACATGCACCTGATCTTGACCATGCCTGAACAAGACTCAGAGCGAGCCAGTGATGCCACAGGATGCCCTGGCCATGCTGAAGGATGGCAACGAGCGCTTTGCAGTGGGTGCCCCCACAGCTGGCAAGGTCCACCAGAGCATGCGCGCGGATTTGAACAACATGGGCCAGGCTCCCCACACTGCTCTGGTTGGCTGTGCGGATTCGCGCGTGCCCCTGGAAACCGTCTTTGATGCCCTTCCCGGGGACCTCTTTGTGTTGCGCAATGCCACACCTGCACACATGCCGAGGGCAGCGTGCTTGGCAGCCTGGAGTTCTGCACCGGTGCGCTGAACACCCGGCTGATCTTCGTGCTCGGGCACACGGCCTGCGGTGCTCAAGGGTGCCGCCAAGGCCTATACCTGGACTCCAAGAAATCGAAATCCAGCGGGGCCAAGGACTGCAGTTTTTTGAGCATAGCACACATGGGGAAGCACAACAGATCTGTTGTTGTGGAGCGTGTTGGGTGTGTTGAGTGTTGCTCCGTTGCGAGCGTTTCCGCAGGACGGCCATGCGTTGGATTTGCTGCTGCAAGGCCTGCGCTCCGTTGCGGAGACTGCGGCGACGAAACTG